CAACTTCAAACCAGCAAGTAATTTTGTGATTTTTGGCTTCCTAGTATGTGGTCACACTCTGTAACCCTTAGTTATGACGATGTCATCTATTCTTATCCAAAAAAGATTACTGACTTAAAGAAATAACTCAAAGAACAAGGCTTCGAGTCCACCTCCAAGCACCCCTCCCACCAGCACCGCTCCATGAATCTCAGCGATATACGCAGGTTAGAAGCACAGCCAGAAGAGCAGCTCACTTCTGACTCCCACACGAATCTTCCTCTCCATAGGAGATTCTTAGAAGACAAGGACCACACATTTCCTTCTTTACACTGAGCGTAACAGCTTGCAAAAAAGTACGGAAGGAATAATGAGCAATTTTAAGTTTTTAAGGCAAGTAAAGCTACATTATACTTGTCTAGGTTGAGCTGTTCAGTATTTGGCAAAAGTTTTCATCTCTGACAGGAGTAACAATCAAAAATATAACTGAAAAGACCATGGTGATTATCGCATTATTTTTACAAATCTCTTTCAACTCTACTATACGTCTATATATCTCAGAAAAACTTCGGCTTTTCTGTCAGTTAAAATGTTTTCCCATCTCCAACAAGAATCAATAAACTAGATTATAAAGTTTCATAAATTAAAGTGGCTCTGTTCAGACTGGCTTATAAAGAGAAATTCATACATGTATTTCTAAAATTCTATGAAATAAGGAAATTGAACTTCTCATATTTTAAATGGGCTAAACTGTAAAAGTAATTCTCAGTGTATTCAAATTCACATTATTAAGATAAATTCTTAGCAAACATATCAAGTTCTATAATTTAATAAGATTTATAATTTAACAAGATTTACAGTGTCTTATGACTTTAAGGAATGTTACATACAGTGCAAGTACACATTTTATGCTACTTGAGTTTGTTTTTCTCAAATATATACAAGTTATTGAACAAATAAGCCAATATGACATGTTTAAGTTATACAGAAAATGAAAATTTCTATTCAACTAAATTTAGTCATTACGCTAGTAAACTTTAAACAATAAAATTACATTTTAGTATAATATTTTAATATTATTAAACATAATATTTTTCAAAATTTCAAGTAATCAAAATATTGGCCTGATATTAAAAGATAACTTCCAAGATAAAACACTAAATCATTTATAAAGTCTACATAATTTTTCTGTGCTGTAAAAAAAACTATTCCTTTCAGTCATTTTAACAAGCATGTTGGTCTTTCCTATTTTACAAACATGTAAAAATTATCTGAGCAACTGGAGAAAGTTGTATCACTGGTATTCATGAGCTGTGGTGGTCTATTAAAATGGCTGTGCATAATTCAAAGTTCTATTGTCCCCTCCTCAGGCTTTTTGGTTTTATTTTGTCAAACATAAATTAATTATTTTTGCTAAAAGTTATAATCTATGAGTGTTTAGGACTATACCAGTAACAACAATATCAGAAAAATACAGTCTGTTATATTTTTACTTTTTAAAGAAAAAGAATAGTTTTACCCTTGGTATAAATAAAAGCCATTGTTGGGATTTTCTTTTTTAAATATCTGGACTCCTTTATATTCTTGAGACTTACTGAAGACTCTGAGGAGCTACTGTTTATTTATAACTATTTAAATCTATCATATTAGAAATTATAACAATTTTCTTAAAGAAGTATGAATTCATTTGGTAAAATAACCATGAATTCCCTGCATGTTAACGTAAGAAGAATGAATGATACTGATGATGAAATTAGTTTTTATCTTTAGAGCTCTGTAACATCCAAAAGTATGTATTTATTCTTGAATAAGAGAATATAATGAAAGAAAATGTGATTTTTTTTGTCTTGTTTGATAATTTCAGACACTGAAGTTGTAAAACTTGTTAAAATGCACTCCATTTTGCTGAGCTTGCTTCCTTAGTTTCCTGAATAATGCTTTTGCCTACAATATGGAAGGTTATCCTTACCCCCACAGCTATTCTCCAATCTCAATATTCATGCTTTTTATGTCCTTAGGCTGCAGATACTCCCCATTCCTATGAAATCCACAGAGCCATCTCATCACTCACATGAAAGATTATTCATTATTTTGGAAGTGACGAAAATTAAATTGTCTTCTCTTTGATACTCTTCTCCACTCTCTCCCACCCCCCAAAAATAACTTTTCTATACAATCACTTTGCTCTCCTTCACATGTACCTTCTTTTTCATTCCTAATATAATCAACTCTTGTTTTCACACATTTACTTCTCATCTGAACTCTGCAGTAGCTGATTAGTTAATATCCCTTACCCCTAATTTTTGCTATCACTAATCCAGGCTGTAATCTACCCCACATTAATCTTCCTAAAAGAGTGACTTTGTTATATCACACTTTCCATTTGAGGAACCAATTCTTTGACAAGTCAAACTGTTACTAAAACTCAAATCCATTTAATTTTACGGTTTCATCTCCTACTTCTTCCCCATAAAAACCCTTCCATAGGGCTGGGGATTTAGCTCAGCAGCATTACACCTGTCTCACAAACTCAAGGTCCTGATTTCAATCCTAGTATCAAAAAAACGTTTAACTGCAGTTCCTGAAATGAGATGTGGGTTGTGCCAGTGGCTCTTCTATTGCCAAAAGAGGAAAAACACAATTGAACATGGCTGCAATAGACCAACGCCAGTTAAGTCCATTTGATAGAAAGAAAGGCCAATGGATTTATATTACTGTATTGCTTTGAATAAAATTATTATTTAACAATTATAAAGACACTGATAGAATAACTATTAGGATAATCTGTACCACATGGTAGGGTTAAAATAATTGGGGAAAGTCTGGGGAGGGCTTTAGAAGAATGAACATTACAACTTAATGGTTAAGTGAGGATGCTTTTGAGTCAAAAAACAGTGCCTTCAAATCATTACTCCTCCACTTAAAACAAGCAGTGTGTCTTTAGTCAAGTTACCTACTTAAGCTTCAATGTGTGGGATGATATTATCTCCCAATACCCAGGGGAAGATTTGAAAATACAATGAATTACACACATAAGGCACCTATTACACAGTAAGAGCTAAATAAAGAATTTTTTAAAGTTATTGCTACTGAGGCAGTCTGAGGCACAATTAAAAGCCAGTTAAGAAGTGAATAGTTAGTAGAATAAAGTAGTAAAAAGTAAGACAGGCAAGAAACACACACAGAGTACTTGTGTCTTCTGTATTATTCATTATATTCTTCAAAATGCACATAGTAAAACCATTCTTCAAGGCTTTAGGCTAGAATCTCTTATAAAGCTTTGTTTCTTTAGATAAAATTTGAGGTAATTAGACAACATGGTATCTAAAGTACTTTTCAGCTTTTTCAAAATAAACTGTGAGAACTTCTAGGAACTGGAGTCCTAAGGTGAATGGAAATTCATATCATTAATGGTTAGCTGCTACTGTAGTTCACCAAGTATCTCAGGGCTTGCTGGTGTTTCCTTGACTTCACATGTTCTGAAAACAAAGGGACAGTTCTATCCCAACTGAAAAATTCCAAATGCACTTTTTATAAGTCACAAAGAGAAAGAGAAATAGACAATCTCACTAAAACTTCTGCTACAGGTGGGCACAAAGACATAATCACTCATAAGTGAAGCCAATATTTGGAGTCTCCAGACCTCCTAAGCATTCTCAGGGCCATTTTAAGAGGTAGAAACAACAGAAACAACAACAAAATAGAACTGAAGAGAAACAGAAGACATTCCAGGGTAAGTAGACAGGTGAGAAATGAAAGGACCAAAAACAAGAACATATCAAAAGGTAAAATCAATCAGCAAAGACTATTCTTTGTACACGGCTTTGTAACACACCCAAGTAAGCTTATTTCCAAATGTCTTCAGTGTAGAGATTTATTTTGTATATTTATTCACAAATTTTTTTCTCTAAAATGTTAAAACTAAATTAGCAATATATTTGCTTTTATTTGAAAGCATGGCTAAAGGTTGCACTAGAACTAATTAATACTTTACATCCCTATTTAAATAATTTTCCAAGCTAGTTGCTAATTTCTAAGTTCTACAGATTCATATCTAGAAAATTATACTTCCACATATATTCATATGTCTGTGTACATATTTCTGAATAAAATGCTTTGAAGTTATTTTTGTCAGATTTAACTTTGTAATTTGTGAGAATTATATCTGTGATCTTAAATTGTAAGTTTGTAGTCCTATCATTTTAAGTGATAAGATTGCTTTCTCCTGCTTCTTTTAAGAAAAACTAAGGAATCTACTCACTAGGTATCTAGCAAAAAGTGCTTATTTCTATAAAACCTTAAATTTGTATTGTTAACTATATGTTATATAATTCAATTTCAAAACAGTAAATCTGTAATATAAAATTTTTAATATTTTACTATTTGTATTCATCATTTACAAACATTTCATCATTTTAGTCATACTAAATGAAGAACTATAGAAAAATATAACTCAAAATACAAACGGAATAAATTCATTCTGTACTCTTCCATCCTATAGACAAGAGTCATTTAAACATAAGAAAATAGTGCTGGGCTGGGGATTTAGCTCAGTGGTGCCTTTGCCTGCCTCGCAAGCACAAGGTCCCAAGTTCTATCCCTGGTACAAATTCAAGTTCTAAATGGAAATGATTCAGATATTACTGTGACAAGGAAAAAAACAATCACGGCTGTTATACTTCTTTCTAAATATAAATAATAAATACAACTAGTAAATATTAAGTACTATCCAATTTTTTAGATAATTTTAAGTGTTTCCACATATATGTACCATAAATGAAAGAGAGTAAAAATATGTTAAAGCTGTTATCATCCAGACCTTATTTCCAACATAAGAGCAATTTTCACGTCTACTCAGTAACTTTGAAAGAGCCTTCCATATATTCTCCACACACACTTTTTCCTCACAGCTGATCAAGAAAAAATAATTACATTTATGTGTAGTAGTAGCAGTAGTGATAGCAGGAATCATAATCATAACATTCTAATTTTAATGTCTTTTTTAAATATGTGGTCCCAACCTGGTCTCCAAAGTCCTCAGGGAATTTCCACAGTACCACAGGATCTGCAAATAATTGACACATATCATTAAAAATGAGGCGAAAGAAAACATGTGAAGCAACAGTCTTACTAAAATCGTCTTCAAATAGTTATGGCTGCTTTAATCACCATTTCTAAAGTTGTCTATGAACACAGCTAGCCAGGTTCACGTCTCTTCCTTTCCTTTATCAAATTAAGTATTTTGACCTTTTAAGGGTTTAATGACCTTTGAAACAACATCAAATCAAAGTCATAACTTGATCAGGTTACTAAAAATCATTTGTTCTCTTTAGCAACTTACCTTTTTATTTATATGCCTTTGTTTTATAAGAAAAATGAACAACGAGAAAGTAAGAATATAATAATTCTGAATAATGAACTTTCAATATTAAAACTATATGCACAAAAATATTGGTTTTATCTTGAAAATAAAAATATATGTAATAAATATGTATAAAAATATATGTAATAAATATATACTCAAATATATTATGGCCTTCAAAGACTAACCAAAATATAGTACAAAACCTTAAATTTGCACTTAAAATTCTAATTAAGAATTTATAAAAACAATAATAATATCAGCTATACACCACTTTTCTGTCAATCTTTTTACTATTACAGATTAATCAGTAGGTAGGTATAACACTGCTATCTAAAATACAATTGATATTTGTAGGATAATCCCCCAAAATTGTTCTACTATAGTAATTCATACACACAAATCAACATTTTGTAAAAATAGTCCCAAGATTTTATTTTCATATCTCACACTACTTCTAACTTAATATAATAAAATGAACTTCTTAGTTTTAATTAGTACTAACATATATTTTGGCCATGGACTTATTTTATAGCTTTTGTCAAAACAAACTTCTGAATATTTTAATGGTTTTAAAATAATCTAAAATAGGTTGAAAACTACTTTTGAAAAAATTTAAAAACTCATAATAGAACTAATATGATGGGCCAGGGATTTAGCTCAGCGGTTCGGTGGCCTGCCTTACAAGCGCAAGGACCGGAGTTCAATCCCCAGTACCAAAAAAAAAAAAAAAAAAAAAACCAACAACAAAAACAAAACAAAACAAAAAAACTAATATGAATAACAAGTACTGACAACTTGACAGAGTTTGAATCCCACTCCCAATGCAGGGATTTCTTTGATTAAGAATATCACTTTATGTATCCAATCAGCAGAAGATTATAGTTCTAATCCATTATTTCCACTATTACAAAGTTTTTAAATGCAATCTAAGAATATATAATTTCCTAATTGTTAATTCCAAAACCCCAAAAATTTGTGACAACATTTTCAGCATGAGTGGGCTCCTCTTGTATTTTCACTTAAGGTAACCAATTTTTTCAAATACTTAAAAATAAAAAACATTCTTTCTGCAATTAAATTTTTCACTTAAGGGTTTAAAATTTTTCCAAATAAGTTAATAAAAATAAATCATTTAATAAATATTACGTAAAAATAATATATTACAAATTTGTGAAGGTAACACCAAATGATTATGTTCTCACATAAAACAAACATACATTTCTGAAAGGAATGTGAAGTGCATTTTAGGTCATCTAAAAATCCTCAGATGTTAATGTCGCAAGGATAATTATGTTTCCAATTAGAAAACATATACATACATTCATGTGGCCATTTCACAAAATGATAGCTGTTCAGATTTGAATTCATAAGGGAAAAGTGTATGATAGAATCCTCATAAAATATTAAGTAAAATTTATTATGGTGAAGAATTAATACAAAAACGAGTGGCTGGTTGGGCATGTTGGCACTTGTCTGTAATCCAGGCACTTGAGAGGCTGAAGTAAGAGGATTACCAGGTGTTTCAAGCCAGCCTCGGTCAGCCTGAGTTCAAAGCCAGCCTGAACTGCATAGCAAGACCGTCTCAAAAACTAAAACAGCTATGTCTTAAAACTAGAACCTTGTTAACCCTCCAGTATAGTCCTTATAGTCAGTCTGCCATCACTGCTGCCAGCATTTAGTTAAATATGCTTTACAGCTGACTTTTCATTCGTTGCTCAATCTTTTTTGTTCTTGTTCTGCGTACTTTTTTTCACAGAAGAGTTAGTGGTTTAATGCTTAACAAAAAGTATCCCATTTTTTAATTAAATAAATGCTATACTTCAGCACTCAAAAATGTATTAGAATCCTTTTTGAAATGGATTAATTTAGGTGCTATTTATATGTTTATATTTAGACCACATTTAATATATCTTTGCAGCCACTTTTCAGAAGTACTACAAAGAAAGAAAAACAGAGAGCTGGGGGGCAAATCCTATTCTACAGCTTCACACAAAGACTGAATTTTTCTCTTCCCTGAAGATTGCTTTCTAAATAATCTTACCTAGCAATCTTAGGCCAATTTTATGCCAATTTTATGGCTGAAAGGATGAGAACTGCTGGCAGGAAGCACAACTGCCAGTGAAGTCTGATAATATACTGCATTTCTCCTCTTTCCAGTGTCTATAGTAATTAAAAGGAACTCATCTTCCTTCTTAAAAGTACTCTGCCACCAAAAGCTAGAAATCAAACATATATGAAAGGAAGAATATAAACTTGATTTTGATATATAGTTAATTTTTAGGAGGATAACATTACAGTGTAAGAAAATATGTAAATTTTTGTTAAATCAGTATGTTTAAAAGGTGATATTTAAAGTATTATTTTTATACTACTCCTGATAATGGCTTTTTTAAAATGCAGGATAAATTCAGTAACATTTTCTTTCTCAATGAGCTTTTCATATTTTCTGCCCCTTAATGGAAAACAAAAATTAAAATAATGTAGTATGTGAGAGTGACTCTACTAAACTACAAAAATATAAAAAACAGTCTAATTTGCATAAATGAAGAAACAATTCTGTAAAATTCAGAGATGGATTAAATGTACACTATCTTTAAAATTATACACTTGTAAAACCACAGGAAAGAGACTGTGCTTTTAGAAAAACAGAATGTAAAATATTCATATTTTGCTTGATTATAGCTTCTAGTGCTTGATTTACTTACATTGTAGAATCAGATGTTTATGTATAAGGAAACTGAAGCCAAATTAATGAAGAATTTGCTTGGTCATATAGCAAGTCAAGGCCAGAAACTAGATTCCTTGCTGAGATATAAGCACCACCTATTTGAGTTTCCAATAATTTATAACATTTTGTGGCTTATCTGGCAAATTCAATTTGTTTCCTTCAAAAACCTACGCAGTAGTGAGGTATGGGGCACATGTATATGATCCCACCTACTCTAGAGGCTGAAGCAGGAAGATGGCAAGTTCGAGGCCAGCCTGGAAGCATAGCAAGACCCTTTCTAAAGTACACACAAGTGTATGTATAAATGTATATATGCACATACAGTATGTGCATATAATAAAACAGATGTGTAGACACACAAAAACATATAAAAATAGATGGCCCTAGAGAAACATGAAAAATCTCTGCCCTTGTATGTCCCACAGCAGAAATGTCAAAGGGCTACCTAGTTTTTATGCAAAGCATTATTTTAAGGAAGGTATACTGCAGGAGCATTTGAACTCATCTGAAAGGTTAACTAGCTTAATAATCTCAAGAAATGTTACTAATGAAAGTATGATGATATCTTTTGAAAAATCATTAACAAAAATGTTTGAATTTTAAAATATGTGATTTTTATTTTCTTAGCTGTAGAAATATACTGGTGAACTCAAAACACCACTTAATATATTATAAAACAGCATGATCACAGATTCAATGCAATTCCTATTGAATGCTGGTGGGGTTGTGGGGAGAAAGGAACCCTTCTCCATTGTTGGTGGGAGTGCAGACCGGTGCAAACATATTGGAAATCAATATGGAAATACCTCAAAGAGCTGGGACTAGAGGTTCCATTTGACCCAGCCATCCCTCTGCTGGGTATCTTTCCAAAACAATTAAAAGAATCATGCCACAGTGATATATGCACACCCATGTTTATAGCAGCACAGTTTATAATAGCTAAAACTTGGAAACAGCCCAACTGCCCATCAGTTAGAGACTGGATAAAGAAGATGTGGGTTTTTTTAAAATATAAAATGGAATACTACTCAGCCATAAAGAATGTGAAACTAGAGAGATTTATAGCTAAGTGGATGCACATTGAGGCCATACTCTTAAGTGAAATTAATAAGTCACACGTATAAATATCAAATAGTTTTTCTGGTATGAAAAGCTAAAAGTGTAAATAAGGATTAAAATGTATAATTGATATTCTTTAATAGGAAGAAAAGGCTGTAAGAGTAGAGCAAGTGGGAGGGCTAGAGAAAAGGTAAAAAGGGGAAAGGAAAAATATGTGAAAAGGAAAAACATGGAAAAAATGTCTTTGTAAACAGGAAAGGGTGAAGGGGCTGAAGGGAGGTCTGGGGATCGGGGAAAAATAAGAACCTGATGAGTCATATACAAGATACAAGATAAGTCAGTGCAAGATTCCAATGATGAATGTAACTGTATTGTATACCTAAAATGTACCAGTAAATTTAATAAAGATTTTAAAAAGCATTACATTAGCACAAAAGCAAAAATGTGGCTCAGTGGAATGGAAGAAAGAAAGTGGAAATAATTCCAAGCACATTCAACTATTTGATCTTTAATAAAGGTGCCAAAAACATACACTGGAGGAAAGACAGCCTCTTTAATAAATGATATCAGGAAAACTAGAAGTCTACATACAGAAGATTGAATCTAGACCCATATATTCTCACCATGTACTAAACTAAAATCAAAATGGGTCAAAGATCTAAATGTTAATGCAAGACACTTAAGCTGGCAAAAAAGAAAATGGTTAAAACTCCTGAAGACATAAGCATAGGCAAGGAATTGCTGAACATAACCCCAATTGCACAGAAAATAGTACCAAAAATCATCAAATGGGATATCAAATTTAAAAGCTTCTGCATGCACATCAAAGGAAACAACCAACAAAGTGAGAAGACACAACCTACAGAATGGGGAAAAAATTGCCAGCTAGTCCTCAGACAGAGGACTAATTTCT